GTGGCACATTTCGGGGCAATAAATTCTTCCAGACACAATGGGTGAAATTTTCCTACCCCCTTCCTTTACCGAGACGCCCGATCCCTCCCCCCTCAACTGTTTTTAGTTCTCGACAATCATTCCGTCCCGCACGAAAAACAATCGCTCAAAAGAAAATTAAAGCGAAGAAACTCGCCCCCTCTTCTACCCTTTTCCCAACAAAAAACAATGTAATCGAAAAACAAGGGTACACGAGTGTTTTGGCACGCGTGCCAAAGTGTTTGGCAACTTGCCGTTAGGTAATAGTCGCTGCATATGTCCAACTTTCTTTGTACAAAGCCCTTTTTTTATTTTATCTTTGGAGTCATGTGTTCAGTGAAGTGAAGCTTAATCAACCACTTTTGCAAAGTTGGGAAAGTAAAGTAATCCGGATATGAGTAATGAAGAGTGTCTTTAGCAAGATGCTCATGGAATAGTTTTCCAAAGCGGAATCTTCGAAAACTAAAAGACTTTTGCTGTTTTTAATAGCTTTTAACAGACAGTTTGATGGAATTATGCATAACGAGGACTGACACAAAGTGGTGATATCTTCAAAAGACGTTACAAACCGATGGCGGAGAATTCTCCACAATCTGTTACGGAGTTCAGAATTTGCGAGGATCGTTTGGAGGTGCCGGAAGGATGGCCATCAAGATAGCGATTAGCAGAGATACCGGCCCATCTTACGAGCGGCCGCGAATGTAATGGAGGGCGACGGGCCGTGAAATATCGGGCACGGGCTGAGCGGTTCTCTTGCACGCTTCATGGGCTTCCCCTTTTCTTCGGCTGTGACAAAGACCCTTTACGTACCCCGTCTTCATTCCCAAACCTGATAACGACAGCAAGAGGGGAAAGTTTTCAAACATTTAAGTATTCTTTTTAAAGGGATCGTTCTTTTCTTTCTTCTTTCTTTCTTTCTTTCTTTCTTTTTTTTTTTTTTTTTTTTTTTTTTTTTCTTAATTCCTGACGTATAAACATTGCGGAAAGAATATATATTCTAAATGATAAATCTCATAGTATCGCAAGTATTTATATTTCTGGAGCAAAATATTCCTCCTGTTTGAATTATTCTTTTTCTCCCTTTCTAATTGTATACCGCTATACTGACTTTTAAAATTTCTGTAGTTTTGCTCTTGAATTATATAAGGCGTTAAAACGAAGATGATGCGTAATAATAAAGCTAAAAAACAAAAAAAAAAAAAAAAAAAAAAATGTGTTGGTAGGAGTGAGTTTAATAGTAGACTGGTAGATTGCGAATTCAACGAGAACGTAAATAACCTCAACAAACCCTTCTAAGCGACCGTTAAAAAATTTTTTTTTTTTTTTTTTTTTTTTTTTTTTTTTTGGGTGCTAATATTTTCTCTTTAAATTTATTGCAGAATTTTTTTTTCCCCCGTAACGTCTTTACGAATGGACAGAATAAATGACTCTGTTCCAAAACGGAATGTAAAATGGATACAAAATTCATTTGTTTTGTGACGTTTGTATTTACGTACACATTTACCTCACACAGTACAAAGATGATTACCGTAGAACAATGAAATTTTGTATAAATATTTGTAAATATTATTATGAATATGTATATTATGTATATTTGAAATTTTGTATATATATATTATAGCATCATCAGACTTAATTACAATTCCCCTTCCACTGAAAAACCCTTGGGTTTCTGTATTCAAAATCAGCTAACGAATTAATCTAAAGTTTTCTAATTAATAGCAGTTCAATCGAAAATTTTGAAATCCTCCTCGACGCAAGGTTAATTTAATGTCAAATCGAGTAAAAGTAAAAAAAGCCGGTTAAGGCATAAAATATAGCTTTATTCTAACCTCCTTGATTAAAACTGAAACACTAATATTTTACATTTTGCGGAATGGCAACAGTCTCGAGCGTTGGAGATAAAAATGTTTCATTTCGAAACAGTGTTGCCATCTGCCCATTTTTAAATTGCTGAGTTTGTTAGTAATCAAATATTCATTAAATTATTACAAAATATGAAATAAACCAAAAACAATTCGAAAATTAAAATTCGGGTTTCGAGGAACTCATTCTCTGGTGGAAGACTGTGTGTATTCGAAATCTGGTGGCTGTAGCTGACGCTATTTTTTGACATTGTGATAAACATGCATACATACCTACAAACATATTCTTCGTTATTCAGGAATAGAGATGGAATATTTCTCCTTTACAAAAACGGATTGGCGAAAATCCTTAAGAAAACTCGGAAGAATGCGTCTGAGAAAGTTCCGCATTGCTTCGTCGGTTATTGCCAACTGCTGATTCCGAAATTCTCTATCAAAAATAGAATTAACTGACTCGTTTATTTTGCTGAAAGAATTCTCGTTTCTCACTTAGGATCAATAACATTTGCGACCGAGAAAGTGTAAAGGAAGTCAGTGGCGGTGATCGCAAAAATTTTTCTTTTCAAGTTGCTTTTTGCATGTGTAATATTTTTAGAGTTTTGCTTATATTACGCCAATATTTTTCTTTTTTCACTATAAAATATAGAAATATAATTTATTATATACAAGGCAGTAACCTCTTAGATTATATAGTTAGAAGCGATATTGTTATTTAGTATGCGTCATCAACCGTGCCCTTATAGCATATTTTTCAAGAGGGATGGTGACGTAAAACGTACAGTTACAATAAATGTTTGTTTTATTATTTAATTTGGAAGGTTCATAAGTAGATTACAAAAAACAGTATTTTATCGACAAAACAGATATACTATGCATGCCTTAATATACAAACATATTATAATCCAGGGGCGGCGGAAGTACCCAATTACTTTGCCTAGCAAATGCATATGTCGTCAAGTTCGACTCATTCGTATCTCACTTTTAAATACAAATTATCGTAATGATTACCAGCTTCAGAAGTTGAAGAATACGAGCAGAAATTTGATTGATTCTGTATTTCATTTTACTAGACTCCTGTACGACACCTGTAAATTGAATTTCCGTTGAATTTATTACATATGATAGATGAAAATAAGATTATTTAATTTACCTAACGGAAGGAGTGCCTTCCCGGAGGACTTTCTGGGGGAAATTCGATTATACAAAAGGAGGAAACTATAAGAATTCACTGCAACCAGCCGGTTCACTACGATTTGAACTCGAACTGAATTACCAGTATACAACTGTTTTATCGCCTGGCCGCTGATGAACCAGTGCCTAGAGAATGCGTTAGGATACAATTAAAATAAAATATTTTTACTACAATAGAAATCTAAATAACATAAAATACTGACTCAAATTTATTACAATAATTAATCGCATTAATTAAATTTATGTTCCTTGGAGGTGATATATATATAAAAAAGCTTTTCTAATAATAAATTATATATATACAATTTTGGGGTTGCCTATTACAGCCAAAAAGGGAGGTGTACAACTGCATGTTATAGCAATACCATATACAAAATTTCAACGTTCTTAAGCTAATAGATTTTGGAATTATGCGAAATACATAATTACGTACAGACGTCACGAAAAAAGTCTCTTTTGAATCCATTTTAAATCCACTTTACTATCGGTTTTGTAGAAAAAGAATTAATTTTTTATTTTGTTGTATAGATGACACGGAAAAGCATCGTTCAAATGGATACTTTCGCTAAAATATTATACCCAAAATATTTCGCGATTAAAATACTTCCTTTACTTCTTCCAAGGAAGTAAAAATCTGATGTTGATATGACGTGTCTTCCTTATACAGCCTACTAAATTATACACATTTTTTTCTGCACTTCATTTAAATTATATCTTCCGGTTATCCTAACTTAATGCATTGATTCCTCGAGACAAGTCAAAAATGACATCAAAAATTGCAAATTTTGAAATTAAATATCCAGATCAATTTTTGTCGCTATGCGATATTCATACTTCTTACACTTTTATTTTTTCATAATGAGTGTAAATCTTTCCCAAATTTAAGTATAAGAAACAGGAGATCGCATTAAAATTTAGATTTCGTTATTTATGCAAAATTAATTTCTTTTAAACAAATTTCAAAATATTTTCGTCATCAGAAACACTTCTGTAATTGGAAGTATATGACTATGACGAACGACAGCGAAAATCAAGACCAAGTATTTATTTTATTTGCTTTATATTGCTAGTATTTTATTTGCTTTTAGTACTGCCGATTGCAATAAAAAAGAGAGGTGCACTTGTCATAGCAGGCCCATTTTCAGCGTTCTACAGCTAATTAATTTTTAGTTATGCGATATACCTATACGTATGTACGTACGTACAAATGTTAAAATAAAAATCCAATTTTAACCCATGTAAATCCATTTTGCAATCCTTTTTAGAAAAAAAGCGTTTATTCTGTCCGTACGCACCAACGTAATGTAAAAAAGTAGTCAAATATATTCCGTTGAAATATGATACCCGAAATTTTTCGCGATTACAGTACTTCCTTTAAGTAAGTACTTCCTTCCGTATAAGGAAGTAAAAAGTGGCCACAATTTTCTTCTGAGTTTAGACCAATAGGCAAAGTCAAGAATAAAACGATGGAATCACCAACAAAGAGTATGAAAAATGGCATCGCAGTCAGATTTATGCGATGCGAAGTAATGCTCAATCATAAAAATTCCCTCAGCTTGGAAAAAAACTCATCAATTGCGATAAGTGCACTACTATATGTTAGAAATATTACGAACGATATGTCAGAAGCATTACGAATTCTACGAGATAACCATATGTTATAAATATTGCGAAAGATTATGTTCGATTTGATATATGTAAGATACAGAATATAAATTGTATGACACCTGTTTAAATTATTGTTATTACTAACCTGATTTTAAATTTTACTTTTTTTAAATCGTTTTGTGTTTAATCGAATATATAATGCGAGTTTATTTGGTAAATTTCAAAATTAATTTTTTTAACGCTGTATTTAAAAATGTTGAAAGTCTGCGGTACAAAATTTTAATTGTCTCTTTTTTTTTTTTTTTTTCTTTTTTTCAGATTAGGATTTCGCGCAACTGCATGGATGAAAGGTGGAGGCCGGTGTTAAACTCATCGCGGGCCTAGACAGACCAAAAAGAAAGATGTTGAGGCCATCATGGCTGAGAGTCTGAGCCTAGACTCAGACCCCGGACACATTATGACAACCAGTACCGAAGACGACGACGGTCAGTGTAGGATTTTTATTTTAACGCATAGGAGAACTGTTAATGTTCTCCGACTCGTTAAAATTGCATCTCAGATAAATATTGTATGTCCTCGCGTATTCCTCCCTCTTTTTATTTCCTTGTACCGAAGTAAAGAAGTATTGTAATCGTGAGAAAAATTTTGGATATCAGATTTCAACGGAAATATCTATTCTGACCGTTCTGGAATCCGTATTTTAGCCCAAAGAGGCAATTTGCAGAGAAGAGCTATTAATTTGGTTTTGGCATTTTGCGTTGTTTCACTAGAAACGGCTTTTCACTTTTCAGATTCCTGCCACCAGCTATTCAAGCCCTACATTATGTAAAGAAATTAAATAATGAAGAATCTGCATGAATGTGTGCATGTTTCTCACATTGTGGAAAGAACAACGGTACCTAGAGACATCAAATTTTGAATAACGTAGTCCTCCTCGAATATGGAAGCCGAAATTTAGAATTTGTTTTATTATCTTTTTCATATTTTGTAAAACTTTAACGAATTTTTGATTAAGATTCAACGATTTCAAAGCGAGCAATAGCAACACTGTACGGAAAAATAAAACCTTTTTATCTTCAGCGCGCGAGACTGTGTATCGAAAGTTCTAAGGATAGGCTCATTTCAAAATTATTTTGCTGTACTGCCTTTGAACTGAATTTTATGGTTTAAGTGCGGAGAATATGATATTAATTAAATAAAGGTAGCACACAAAGCGTTAAAAAAAATGCCCTTTTGTGCGTAATATAAAATCTGACAGCTCACAGCCCCCCGCGGAACGTCTGTGCTATCGGACAAAATAAAGGATTCTTTATTCCAAAAAGGGTTCAAAATGCATTTTTTCGCCCCCTTTCTAGGTACATGAATAAGTATGTATAATACATAATTCAAAAACGACTAGCCATTGAAATTTTTTCTATGGGAGTGCTGTAGTCTTCTTACCATATAGATGTAATGACTGGCGGTTTTTTCCCGTTCCGATTAACAATTTTGCTCATTCTGCGCATAGAAAATTTCAATACTATGCATTTCGCAACCTTTTTGAATTATGGAATAGGAATATTTCTCTTCGGAAAGCCCAGAAACATATTCTTCGATCCGCAGATTGTTTACAAGCGACATTTTGAATAAGAATCAATTTAAAAGCAGCAGACGAATATCTTTTTAGTTCGAATAATATGCTGTATGCTGTTGTCAGAAATTTTTATTCAAAGCATTTTCATTTTAAAAATTTTTTATCGAAATCGTTCTGAAAATGCTTAATAAAATGTTCAGATGTAAATTATCAGAAATGTTGATTATTAGCTGGTTATTTGTCTGTTAAATAGCATTTTTCGCATTCGTCGCTGTTTTTTCCCGACATTCTTTGAATATTTTATTTAGCTTTTAAAAGAAAACGTCCATTTTCTTTACTTTTTATTTGTTCTAAAAGCTACCGTTATGACTCATTTTACCCAGTTCGCGTTTGTCTTCAATCTTGACTACAACTAGGTATCATGACCTTCAGACTTCAAACGGAAAATTAGAACATTGCAAGGGACAGCTGTGAAACACACTATAGAATATTTTGCGTAGACAGATCAATTTCATGACCTGCATAATAAAGTATCACTTCAAATGCTTCCAAATAAATCATAAACTTTGCGGTTCAGACGTGCAAAAACATCATAGAAATATAAGAGTAAAAAATTAACAAGAATACATAATTTTAAACCACGGGATTCTTGTTATTTAGCTTGCATAGTTTTAGGTTTAGTTCGTTAAAATGTTGTTGAAAGTAATAAAGTGGTACTGTAATGTAATAAATGACTGTAAAGAAGTTCTGCAGTAGTAAAAAGAAATGTCTTTTCTTCGTATCAGATATGATCGGAATTCATGGAATAAATCACAGCTTTAAAAGAAAGAATGTGAATGATTTACTTTCGTTATATTCAATTCAAATTTTGAATTTCTAGATAATATTTTGAGTTTTGGGTGTGCCCTCTTCATTTAAAGAGCGCAGTTTACTAAATGATTCTAGTGATGAATTTTAGTTCGGGTTCCACTGAAAAGTCTCTCAGCTGTTCGAGGGCAGAGAAGCAGATAAATGAATGTATGGCCTTAATAAAAGTGAAGCCACAGATCTTTGTATTGCTAGCTGAACATGGAACTAAGGTTGTATGTCCAAGGAAACGCAGTTATTTATTTTCATTCTCAAGTTTGGCCAGCAATTAAGATGATTATGGGTTTTCTGAATTTTTCAGTTACACTTCCTAAGCTTCAACGAAAATTCCGCAAAAAATGTGCATTAAAAAAAAAAAAAAATCTGTTCCCCCACCCCTTCTTTAGCTTCCTTCTAAGAAGTGAAGAAAATATTATAATTGCAAAAAATTTCGGGTTTCAAGTTCAACGGAAATATCCTTTTGACAGTTCCCAAATTTATTTTGACTATTTATTTGCATGATGTCTGTACGTACGGACAGAATAAACGACTCTTTACTCCAAAAATGGGTTATAAAATAGCCTTTTTTGGCTATTATAAACATTGACCTCTACTAAAGCCAGAAGCGGTGGGCATTTTATTATGGAAGAACCTAACTGGCAGACCACCGTTACCTCTTATGAAGGGACAGACGATTTACATCTATGCCTTCTCCGAACCCGGGCTTTTCGATACGGCAGTTAGAGTCACTAACCCTTTTACCGTCTGGCCAGCAATGGCGATCATTTAACAGTTCTAGCACTGATTAAGATATCGCAATTCTTATAATTATTATTTGCCATTGAATATTGTTGAACAAATAACTATTTGAACATGCAAATAAAAGTATTGTTACGAAATGTCCAGGCGCGGTAAGATAGCTTCCCCGTAAAGCAGTTTTAGGGTTGTCATAAAATAGAAAAGAAGGCGGGGTTGGTGAACATTTGGTGAGAAATCGCTCATTTGGCGACTAAATTGGCGATATGCCATGGACGGGTGGAGAACCTTCTGGAACGAATTCTTACCAGTTTAGCCCAGAATGTTCTCGAACACAAACCGAAAACTATGTAAACCCTGCTGGTCCGCAGTCAGTTAGTGTGTGTACCTCGCATAAAGTGCGAGATAGTTAGTCTCGAGTTAGTCGGTGGCAGTGAGTGCCGAGTGGGTCGTCGAGTGCATCGAAGAGTCTCTTAGTGTATCGCGGGTAGTGCATCATCAAGAGAGTGTGTTAAGTTCCGGGAACGACTGAACCGAAGAGTCGGGAGCTATGCTCTGTGTGTCGTCGAGTGCATTGCGAGTTGTAGCGTGGAGAGTCTCGAGAGTACGTGGAGTTCCAAGAGCGACCAAGAAGAGTCGGAGCTGTACTCCGGAAAGCAGAGTTGGGTGCTTTGCAGGAAGCTGTCTCCACCGTTATAGCCTGATAACCTGAAGGCGTGTCGCTGATTGTTTCAGCGAGTGTATAGTAGATCTTCGACTACTGTAAAACGTAACTTTGGAGCTGTCCTGATTAATAATGGCTAAATAAAGTGTGTTTCGATATTCCATCAAGTTCTGTTCTCGTTATTCATTCCAAATCCTCACGAACCCCGTACAAACGGCAAGGAAGTAAATAATGTAACAACTGGTGTCAGAAAAAAAAAAAAAAGCAACAGTATGGTTTGACTTTATTAAACATGCTAATAGGCATACCTTATACAGTCTTTACACCATCAATGAAATGGTCTGGTTCTAATATATCTAGATCTTGTAGATTATTTGTGATATCTGATATCTTTTTGGAATAGAACAACAACAAAGAACACGTAATATGGATGCTGCTGGAAACTTCGTTTATTCATGTTATGTTGTCCTTTATGTTTTCCCTTCATGGCCGGTCTAGAAAAGCCATAAGGGGAGCTTGGGCTTGCCAGGAGGGTGGACCGCGCCATACCTACCTACTACCTACCTTTTTGCTTTACCTTTTGCTTTTTGCTACCTACCTTTTAACTTCTCATTTCGAAGTTTCATTGCATTCGGAAAATCAGGGATGATATAAGAAATAATACTGGCCAAACTTGACCTAAGGGCCAAACACCTTTGAGGTTGGTTAATACTGAAAAATATAAGGTCTCTGCGATGAATTCAGACGATCGATTTCACCTGTTAAAAATGTAGTTGGCTGTCTTAGGAAGTTTTATTACATAGTATTTATTCTTTGTTCAGTCTCTAATTTTGTTCTTCTTTCTGCAGGTAGCAAATCAGCACCGTCTCCAGCAATTGCAAGCCCCAATCAGGTGCCATCGACGGAATCGTCTAATGAGAATAGTCGGAAACGCAAACGTCTTAGTGCCGTTTTGGACAAACTCACCACACAAGTAAGTCCTCTTGACCGTATGAATTAATTATATTGTTCCCACTTTGGATCGAATCATCTGACTACACCCTGGGTATCACAAACTTCAAGAACAAATACAAGCTGTCAGTCAAAATTGTCAGCCCAAACAAATAAATATAACGATATTATAATGAACATAGAACTGACATCGTATTTATGGATTTTATACATGAATATTTTTGCATCGATTCTTTACTTAGTGTGACCATCAGAACGGAATTTTCAAGGTCATAAAACAAAAACGAGAAAATAAATTTGTTGTAATCTGGTGACCAGAAATTCATCTGAGACTAAAATTAGAAGAGACGTACTAAAAAAATATAGTAATAATGTGAATTACTTTTGCAACAGCTTTGTAAGATTTTATAATTTTGCCCACATATTCATTTCGCCCACGTAGTCCTACAAATGAGTCATAAATAAAATGCTTAGAAGAAGATTAGGTAATTTGGTAAGCTTTAACTGGGACTTTAGTTACCAGTTTTCAATTAATCTAATGAGCTGGGAAAATTTAGAACGATTAATGCTGTAAAACTGACATGAACACTACAAATTACAGCTTCCACGAAATTTGGCCACTCTTGGTCTAAAAGATAGTTCTATGTATTTGACGAATTTGTGATTTTACCCTAAGTAATGCGATTAAGGTTCCGAAATTCAAGGGAAGTAGAGCATCATTAGATAACTGCTAGAGGTATTAATGTTCTTTTCTTGCCTTATCTTTTAACAACTGGATTTCAACTGCTTTTTCTACTTCACTACGCAATTTACAGTCCTTCACAGTTTCTTGTATACGCTTATGTAATAATTAGTTCAAATGATCTTTGCAGCTTTGTATTAGATTCATAAAAAGACAGAAAGCTTTCAAATTAATAGCTATCGATGTTATTTTGTAATGTTAGCAAAAGATTCTAGAATAAGGATGGCAAACCTATGGCACGCGACAGGTATTTAGGTGGCATGCCCCAGGTACATATAGAATTAACAGAATTTCAAGAAAATTTTACGTGGATGAATAAATTTGTCAAACTTGGTGAAGCATTAGAAGAGTAGTGTGCGGATTCCAAATATTCCATCCAAAAGTCGGAAAACTTAATCCTTGAGCAAAGGAATGATCTCCCACAAAAATTTTCGGCCATGAGAAATTTGCAGTAACACTGCTTATAATGTTTGGATCCTCATGCGCATGCGCTTGTGAGCAGATGCTTTCACCAATGGACTCTATAAAATCAGCTGTAAGAAATCGCCTTGGTTCCGATGTAAGTGAAGCTTGCGTGTTACTAAAGATAAAAAGTTATGACCCAAATGTAAATGACATGGCTAATAAGGTTATAAAGTCTAGGTTTCTTAGGAAGCATACACTATAGATTTTAAAAGACTATTAAAGAATTATCTTTTAGCTTTCTGCGGCAAAACAAAAGTCAGAAGAAAGGTGTATAAGACCCTTTTATATGAACAAAAAAATTAACAAAGACCCAACTTGGGGTTACACTAGCCAAGCACTTATGACTTAACAGAAATACGTAAATTTGAACAAATTCAAATGTGGTACATTAGCCTAATGGCTCACAGAATAATTTAACGAGCAGGAAAGGTTCTGGTTTGCAGAAAACAGGCTAGACTAGCCGCATGACTAGGAGCACTCAACGCCACAGAATCAAATCGCTAATAATAATGGCAGAACGTGACCTGCAATAGGCAGACACGCTCTAACACTAACTTCCGAAACATTTGCTTAAAATAGCACTTCTTTCTACCTTAATCTGAAAAAACGCTAGCTATCTAATTTACATTCTGGCATGAAAAGGGTGGGTGAAAAGAGAATGGCAGAAAAGTGCTAAAAATTAACCGTTAGTTAAAAGTAAATAGATACACCTCACAAGGTTCAGCAATAGGTGTCGAACTAAATGGGATTAAATGCGCATAGTTTTGGAATTCTTTCGAATGTATTAGTGTCGTATTTGTTTATAATGTTAAATGAATGTATTTTGAAAAGTAAATAGTATATATTAAGTGAAGCGTCTTAAAGAAGACATTATTTTTGAATTGTACTGACACATCTAATTTTTCATATTAATAAAGAATTAATAACATTTAACATTGATTACCTTTATTTTTATTTTTCACTTACAATAAAGGGTGTCAGCTTAAAGACACTTTACATTATCTTTAATGTTAAACTGAACTATTTTTAATATACTGTTTATTCCGCTCACAACTGCTACAAATTAATAACTATACAGCAGATATAGTTGTCACAAACTATAATTCGATAGTTGAAATCAAATCAGGGGCTTAAAGAAGATTTTTAAAAAGAAATATAACAAGTGGCACTTAAAACACCTGATTTTTTTTTTTTTTTCCCAATGGCGAACTCTAGCCGTTTATAGGCTTTGGCCACTCTTAAGGTCGGAACCGTTGATCACTATATTGTGGCACCTAATAATAATGGACCGTAGGTGCCTTCTATGGCAGAAGGCAAATTATATCCACAAATTACGTCCATCCCTTTTCTGAGATTCTGGACCCTTCGGTACGGCATGGAGAGTCACTAACCAGTTTCGGTTTGGGCGGCAGACATCTGAAAATAAATAAGCCTAGTTTAATTCTCACACAAATCGAAAAAAAGGTTCGCATTCCCTGTTCTAGAATTAAGATACAATAACAATACATAACATCATCCTCAGCTGCCACTTGCAACTTGAGGATGATGGTTCGGTAAAACCATCGAAACTAGTCCTGTGAAAATTTGAAAATATAACGCTGCTTTTTGTTGTTTGACTTCTGAATTACCTGTCCTAGAAGTTAATTCTAAAACAAAGCTATTTTTGAAGTTTCTTAGTTATATCCACCCAGCCTTCCAAATTTCGAAAGAGCTTCATTAGCGACAAGTTAATTTGCTCAGTTGGTTTTCCTGATCAATCAATTTTATGCATTCAGGTAGAAAGAAGAAGCGTTGACTCGACGTCCTCTGAAGAAGGTGGCCATACCAGCAGCAGTCCCAGTGAGGGCAGCGTCTTCTTGCCCAATCAGGAACGAATCTTTGCATCGCAGGAATCTGTAGCGCCTCGACCCAAGATGAGAGCTCCTCCACAGAAGGTGAGCTGCAACCTTCAATGAACTAAAACACTCTCTTTAAATACCGTATGTAATCAAACCCCGCTATAACGGCCAGGTTCATAACGAATTCCCGATTATAATGAAAGAACCGAATGTCATTTTATACAGCTGTAGTGAACTTCCAAAACCATGAAAATCGGATATAATGAAATCTTTTGAATTTTTCATAATTTTTTCCCTAGAATTTCTGCAAATAAACAGTTCCTTAAAATTATCCGTATTCGATTTATCAGAACTGCAAAAAACATCTTTATATTGTTCTTTTATCTTCCCCACATTTTTCTGACTTCTAAATAAAGGCTATTTGAGGCAGGAGTGACGTCTACTTCTTGGAAAACGCAGAGAATGTACCAAACCCTGGGACGAAAGATACATAGAGAACATACATGACGCACAGATCATAAAACTCTGTCACGAAAATGGTTATTCATAATTATAAACATGCTCTTTTTTACAGGAAGTCATACTTCTGGATTTTAAGGAAAAAATCTGAAACTTGACTTTTATGCTAAGTAATTTATCATGTAAAAATGTTAGTGTACATGGTAAAACTTAAAAAAAAATAATAATAATAACAATAATGATAATAGCGTTTTTTTTTTTTTTTTTTGATAACTTATTTTTTTTTATGGGATCGGATACAGTGAACTAAATTTTTGGTCTATTGAAATTACTTTATACCGGGGTTTGACTGCATTAAAGTTAAAAACAATATTTATTTTAAACTAATAATTGCTATTTTTACTTTTATGTTATAATGTCATAATTGTTAGAAACTAAGTCCTTCTGACTCTATTGGTCTGACAAGTGAAATATCGCACTACGGGAATGAGAAGTTACATTAAAGTGATAATAATTAATTAATTAACACAAAATACAATGTATTGATCAAAAGTTTCGATCAGAATTCAAAAATCTTCATTTGTCTAATTATCGCAACGCATATCGGTATATATACTGTATTACTTTGAAATGATAAATCTACCACTTTAATCATACTCATCCATCATTCTCATAACATACATCGAGAAGGACATTTATATTTCAGTTACTCATTGTTAGTTAATTCACCTTCCGGTGGACTATCTAACAACCTTCGCATAGTCTGCATAATATGAGAGTATTCAGTCAGAAAAGAATATAAGAATATAGGCGAATGATCTGTTTACAGCCAAATTACTTTCTTTTGATTCTATCAACTGTAATTTCAAATATCTCTCACCAATTTTTTCACAATATTGCATACGTTTGTTGTGGGCTGCGCAAGTTAAAAATACAATCCGAAAATCCACTCATTTTCTGCTATTAAACTGCACTCCTGCTGAAAAAATAAGCAACAAGGACAAAACATGGAATAAAACAAAAACTATTAAGTAGATATGTGTGAAATTGATACAACAGATTCATGTAGCATTCCTATACCCCATAGCAAACAATAAAGCAAAGACATATCAAAACACATGTATTGCGACCATCACATCTCAGAAGACCAAATGAGTCGGAACAATGTTCAATGAATGAAAACATCACGCTGCTGAAATGAATGCTTGACAACGGCGAAGCAAGCTGGCAATAGTATCAATGATCGCATGTTGTGACAGTAGCACCCATTACTGTAGTAACGCATGTCGAAGCTCGTGAAGAGTGCCTGGCGGCGCACTGCGACCTGTTCTCCGTCATCCCAACATGTTCCACACATGTTGTAAAGGATTCAGGTCCGGTGATCTAACAGCCCACGGCAGATGTGGAATGGTTTCACTCTTCAGATAACTCCGCACCACTCTGTGGGTGGACGTTATCGTCCATAAATATTGCTTCGGTGCCCATTGCAGCCATAAAAGAACGAAAAAGACGAGGGTAGAACTTCGTCGCGATATCGAACGGCTGTAACGGAACCACCAGGAATGAGGTAGAGGCCGGTGCGACTGTTCTTTGTTATCCCGGAGCATACAAGTAAGCCTCCTACTCAGTAATGGTCTTTTACGACGCTCTTTGGCGCCCGATAGCGTGTTTCTGGCTCTCACCATATCATTGTCCTTCGAGGATCATTCTGGATGTTCAATCGAGACTCATCCGTAAAGAGTACGTGGCCTCATTGCTCTGATTCCAACTGCGATGTTCACAGGCCCAATTCAACCGCACTCTGACACGCGATGAGGACAAAAGAGCACAAACCACAGGTCGTTGGGCGTATAGTCCACCTTCATGGAGTCGACGTGACACATTTTGGCTGGATATAAGCCGTCCCGCAGCAGCAGAGAGATGCGACTTCAGCTGCTGTGCTATTAATGATCTACGGCATCTTGCATATAGCAACAGGAAGCGATCGTCTTGGTTGCTGTAGTACCTCCGGCGTCCAGACCTGCGTTCTACAGGAATTTTGATCGCTTTGGTAACGATCCTACAGCCTGTTGATGATACTACGAAGCACATTCAATTCTGTCGCTACAGCGGATTGTCTTGCACCAGCAGTATAACCACAGCCCTCTAGCGCATTTCATCGTGCAAATAGTGTCTTCGGCTAATTCTCTTCGCTTTTGCTATCTTGGATTAAAAGGAACTGTTGCTGTTTGCGAACTGCTACATAGGTTCGTCATGCCCCGTTTTAAGGCGGTATGGTGTGACGGCGGAATTGCCTTTTATGCTAATTTTGGTTGCCAATTTGTATTCGGCGTTGTTACCTCATATGTAAATGGTATGTTTTAATTCCCTTCTTACATTTGTACTTTTTCGTTTAGCGTTTGTTGCTTATTTTTGGAACACGAGTGTATTTACGTTGAGTCTCAGGCTCTACATAGGCTTTAATAAAGAAACATTACACATCAAATGTTTGTAATAGAGGCACTTTTATTTGCGACATATAATTATCAAGTCGAAGGAATCGTGGATTCTAACACATAACGTTTTTAAAGAATACACTTTTTAGAATAACAATAAACTAAAATTAATTATTTTTGCCATTCACAAGTTGTATTAATAACATATCGTTTGCATTTATGTACTTAAAACACAGACGACAAGAGGACTTATTTATTGATATGTCTGGCTGCTGGGTGAACTCTTTATATTTTTGCACTTCGCCAATTTTACTTAACTTAAATCTGCTTGTGTTCCATGCGCAGTTATGTTCAGCAACTGTCTGTAACATTTGAATGGGTTCCGTAGTGTATATACACAGAAAATTGTGTTTTACTATACTTGATGCATACTGCGAGCAGCATGCATTAAGTATCCTGCAGCAGCATGCTTTTTGAAAATAGTAGTCTTGTGCATTCGAAGTGAAAACGATCGTAAATGCTTGATTTAACATTAAAACTAGTTCTATAGTGAACGTACTGAGAAAACTGTGTTTCATTCTGTTGCATGTTAATGAGTCCGATACTTCTGTAGTTACGTGTTTTATAAAAATATCATAAGGTATTTCTCCCACTTTCCTAGCGTGCCTTCGTGGTGTAGTGGTTCTGCACGCTGGGCCGGTATTCCAGAGGTCCGTGGTTCGATTTCCGGCGAAGGCGGTTGCTAATTTTTCATCATGCCTGCTTCCAAAAAATACCTAATGTCTCTACAATATTACATGTAAATACTTGAAATTTTGCACTTTTGAGGCGAAAATGACTGTAGATGTTTAACTCTTCGACAGATTCCATACTTAGTAAATTGTGTTTAACATTTTACTGTATACTTTACAATAGTGTATTTTACGAAAATATTGCACGTGAGTATGAATTTTTGTACATTTAACGGGGAAATGATTGCATAAGCTTTAATTTGACAGAACTCAATTTTGAAATGCAGCAAGTTACAACTGCAAATTTTCTACTTTATATATTTTTTATGTTTTACTGTGTTCTATATTTTGTATTCATCATAATCTGGGAACATTTCGTGAATGGTGGTCTGTGTTTTTTGCAGTTTATATTGCTAACCGTCCACATGGGCCATTATAATAAAGTATTATAATTATAATTGTGTGCCACTTCATCTTCCTGAACTTAAGAAACTTTGCAAGTGCACATCAGTTGGCGTCGCATGTCCCATAGACCAATTCGGAAGCTTTGGCTATTCGCTACAATGGCGAAACTTTTGCGTGATTTCTGTCATAAACGCCAACGCCTTAGAGTAAGATTTTCAAAAGCGTTGGTAAATACTATTTCTGTAACAAGCCCACTATACCGTGCGTTCAAAGTTCATAAGCTTTATTTAACATCTGAACAAGCTTCGCGTTGCATGTGTTTAGAAAACTGCGCTTTATTATTCACTGCACGTTAATGAGCTTGACGCTTTGCGATTGCGTAATATATGATATCTTGCATGTAAATGGTAGAAATCTTGTTCATTCGACGTGAAAACGATTGTATGTGTTTAAGTTAACGTTTATTTGAAGTTTATGAACCTGTTTTTTTAATGCTAAAGATCTGTTTTACATACTTATACTTCTAAGCCTAACGCGGAGAATTGTGCAGTGGTTCCTTCCGTCTTTTTGCCTAAAAGTCGCGTTAGTGAAAGATATAAGGTCCTTTTTACTCGCCGGACATAGGGTAACACCCACTTTTGTGCGCATCGACTAATTTTATGTTCTCATCCATTTTCGGATTTATATATTTTTAGCGCAATGCTAATTTTTGGATTTGCATTTGCATTTTTATGTGTTTTTACGAGATTTTACTGTTTCAACTTATATATATATATATGGATTTTAACATAACAGGATGTTTTAAGCTGATTAATTTTGCTTAATATCTTTTACTGCTAAAAGTAGCTTAATATCTTCGCTCTCAACGTCGAGCGAACCAAAATCGTCCGTGTGCTCACGACTTCATTCATCGCAACAATGCTAAGATTCTGGAGATTCTATTCCGTAAGCTTTCGCAGCAATTCGCCATAATTTATCCACTTTTAAAATTTAAAATGAAATATTCTGTTTCAGCATATCAAATATAATATGCTGGGCCAGTCAGTGACACTTCACTTTAAATCACGGTATCACAGTGATACCGTGAGCCCACGAAGGAAAACTGAGTGGTATCATATATGATAAGCTGGGAGCGAAGAGGTTGAAGTTTGACGAATTCCAAATGATGGAGGAAAAGGAAGAGTTATGTAAGAATCTGATCGAGGATGTTAGTGAAATAAAGAATTTAGTTGGTGGCCAAATTTGAATTAAAGAAAGACATCATGATAAAAATTTGGATCATGAGGAGGAAGAAAAAAGTTAAATTTTGAAAAACCAATAAATTGATTGCAAATCCTCTGAATAATGAAGTTATGTTTACAATAAGATTAAAAGTTATTTAAATCATAATGATTTAGAGTTAAATACTCAGAACTCATATGATCAAAAGAGACGGAGATTTGGTTGCACGGTTGAGAGATAAATATGAAGGGAAGATTTTGCAGAAAACTATTGTTGAAAAGTAAGACGTGAATAAATTAGTTGTTGCTAGAAAGCGGAGATTCATTTATATAACATTAGTAATACTCTTGGAGATGAGGAGTTTATAAAAAAGTTGAAAATTTATTGTAAATGTAAAGAAGAATGCGCTGAATCTCTGTTGAAAATTTGAGTCACTGAAAGAGAAATCTCTCATCGGGTTTCCCAGACCTCTGCTGAATGTCAAAGAGGAATATTGAATACTAATCTGATAACCATGGATTGGAAATTCTACTCGGCACGATTATACGCGAATCCCAAAAGATGTATAAGATGTCTTAATTATAATCTCATGCGAAAGCAATATAATAGCGAATTGTGTGCGGCAGACGCTCTGAAAATCCTGAAAAAAAAAAAAAAAGAAAAGAAAAAAAAAAAAAAAAAAATGTCTGACACGCCACATTAGATGTGTTAGTTGCAGAGATGTTAAGAGTAAAGTTTAAAAAGCTATGAAAACCATAATGCATTTTCATACAAATGCTTGGAGTATCGCGATGAAATCGACTTTATTAAAGAATGCTTAGAATATCACAATGAAAAATGCTTTGAGTATCTGTCTAAGTGTATATGTGTACTATATTACGAATGTGTTTATGTAATTTTGTTTCTTCCACCCCCTTATTTTTAAGAGCCACTTCGATGTAGATCGGCTCGCTACTTCCTTCACTTTACCATTATTTGCACATAATGTGCATTTACAATCTGAAAGTTTTTAAACCCCATACGGAAAATACAGTTAATTTTTGGTACACTTTCATTCAGTTGTAATTACTAAAATGAGGTGTTTAAAATTGTAGTTATTATATTGCTATAAACAATATTACGTATTTTATTCTAAAGCTGCTTTTTTATTTAGTCCATATATTCGAAAAATATTTATATCTTATCAAAGACATAATAAATCTAATTTATTTCCTTAAGGAGAATCATCAGGTGTTTTCCTGACAATCCCCCGCTTCTTGTATACCACTCTCTACTAGTTAATTGCTGTTATGAAAGTTTCTCCTCCTTTTTCATATGAACACTATATTAGTATTTTCACAGTTTTATACGAATTTGTGAATACCTTTAATTAATTAAGGTTCTCTTTTTTTTTTTTTTTTTCAATTGCAGCAATTGTCCATTGATTCGGAGATGAGCCATTGTGTACAGGTGAAGCTAGATTTACTAGACGCGGCGGAGGATAGAAGGGGAGTTTCGAATCGACCCCCACCCCAGCCGGAGCCCTCCCCTTTGCTCTCACCCCCGGAGGAAGGTGGGGGAACAACGACCTTCGGGGATTGTTCTCCTATGAAGAAAGTTCCGTTCCGGGCGCACACAAAGCGAGACAGCGGCAGGTCTCCCACAGGTATCTTTGCCCCTTCGGTAGGGGGGCCGGGTGCTGAGACGCCCCCCAAGGAGGAGGACGTAGATGAAGAAGACGACGCCTTCAGTTCGCCTCCAGGCAACAGGCTGTCAGGACGTCCCGCACCTCTGCAGATCTTGCCGTACCCCGAAGGACTGTACCGTACGCCGCAGCAGCATCCTTTCCTGCTCCAGCATCACCCTGTTGAGACCCCCGTTGTCATGGGCAACGGGGCTTCTGCGGGAAACACCGCTCTCTCTCAATTGAGCACAGCTTTTCCTAGTTTTCCTATTTGCGACTGCCATCACTGCCGGACATTAGCTGGGCGAGCACCATCGTTCGGCTGGGAAGATATTGCCGCTCACCACCATCGGGCGCTTCTTCAGAAAGTAATGTCCTCCGGTGGACCTTTAACTCCCGTGTCGCCAGTCACTCCAACTTTCGACGCCTTCTTGCAGACCAAGTTTTTACCAGAATTTTTCTACCGAAGAAGGAGTCACTCAGATTCGGATTTACAACAATGGTTAGCGGAATCTGGCGTCACTGGTGGCGATGTGTCCAATCATCCGCATCAGGGCTTGCATCCCGCGATGCCTCCTCCACCGCCTAGAGATTCTCCAACAGAGAGTTATAGTCTCACTGCCCGCCACAGCAAACCTAAGCCTCTTCACATACCGCAAAAAGGTGGTAGCTTGGAATCTGACCAAGGTTCTACTACTCCTCAAGATTCGCCCTTGGACCTTTCTGTGAAATCAAACACTCCAGCCAGCTCAGATTCTACTTCGTCAAACACCTGTTTCCCTCTCTCGCCTCTAACTCGTGACTGTTCTCTCGAGTCTCAAGGCAGTCCGAGGGGATCATCTGGTGGCAGTCCCTTTGATATACGAGCGGCATCCACCATGTTACCCCCAACGAAAGTGGAACAAAGTGCCCCTGCTCCACGAAATGTGAGTCCTGTAGTTGAAGTTGTGGCACCAGGATCTGATGTGGTTTACGTCTGTCCTATCTGTGGCCAGATGTTCTCCTTGCACGATAGACTCGCCAAACATATGGCAAGTCGCCACCGCAGCCGCCAGCAAGCGGATACAACTACATCGGCTTCTTCTAAGAGTTATATGTGTGATGTGTGCAAACGGTCTTTTGCGCGTTCGGACATGCTCACGCGCCATATGCGACTTCATACGGGCATTAAGCCTTACACGTGTCGCGTCTGTGGACAAGTGTTTAGTCGCTCAGATCATCTGAGCACGCACCAGCGGACACACACCGGCGAGAAGCCGTACAAGTGCCCTCAATGTCCGTACGCGGCATGTCGCAGGGACATGATCACGCGACACATGCGGACACATGCGCGCTATGAGCTGCCGGACAGCAGTTGTTCGGGATTCGAAGAGGGGATAGGGACGACATCTTCGTCGTCTTCGCCCCCACACTTCAAAAACAGTCCTCCACCCCTTCTCCCTGTGGACGAGGCGGGGGTGGCGCCGTCGGCATCGCCAGTTCACAAACTGAGTGCCTTGCGCGTGCGCAGTCCGGCTGGAGCCAGCTTAGGACAGATGTCCGGCAAAGACTGAGGAGATGGATCCGCTTATTGGTAAGTCTATATTTATTTTTTTAAACTTCTCTAAATTTCAGTTTCAGGGAGATCATATGTTTAGCGCAGTACTATTATTCAGCAAGTTACCTTTATACCTATTAAAAAAAATCTAGTATCTGTTATTGCGAAATACTGTTTATTATTTTATATAATATCTGAGATTTGAATATGGGAGAATTAATGCATACAAACCGCTTGACATTTCGTACGAAATGTTCATATATTTTGATAAAGAATTCTGTGCACATAAGGAATTATGTCCTTAAAACGTGGTTATAAATCACACTAAGTATCTATGAATTATCTTTCGCATCCTAGTATCTATTATTTAAATCGATGAAATAATTTCTTTTCAGTTATATAATTTCGGAAATAACATTAAAACTTTGTTTATAGTTATCAAAAGTTTACATACATTTGTAATTTCTTAAAATTGCTCTTCTAAAGTTATTACATTTGTATTCAATAGTCTGAAAATGAGAAGAAAGAAAGTTAATAATTTGCTGAATAAAGTACACGGATTGTTTGAAACATCATCAAGATTTTGTGGTATCATTCTAATGATTCATTGTGATTTTAATCAGTGTAAAAGTACTGGTGTTTACGATGTTTCCCAATTTTTTTTTTAAATTAGTGAAAAATTCTGTAGAAAGAAAGCGAATTTTATTTTATTCAGTATAAAAATCAAATGTTAAAATATAGTTAAAAAATTAGTATCTGACTGACAGTGGCATGCAGATCACGAGCTAATAATTACGTAAACGAGATGCATTGGATATTTATATGTAAAATGTTTTCAAAGTTTCAGGAATTGATCGCTAGTTCAATTGATCGCTAGAATTTGTAATGAGCACTACCGGCCTGAGAAAGAAGGCTTAATATTTTTGTGCAGTTATCGCATTCAAATTGTTTAGTCCAATTCAGTTGTTTGACTGACACAGGCGCATTTTTGTAGCACTGCTTTTGCAACCAAAGAAGATGCGAAAAGCAGTCATTTTCTTTTAGTGAGAAATAGTTTTGAATGTTCGAGTTTAACCAAGCCATTAAATGGATGGATTGATGAGATATCGAAAACTTTCTTTGAGGAAAAAAAATTGGGATACTTGCATTTAATTAAATGTGAATCATTAATATTCATGAAAATTAACGAAATTAAAAAAATAATAAAAATATGAAAGGTTTCAGATATTTTAACAAAAGGGTTTGTTAAGGTTTTCACGGTCTCGCATCAGAAAATTTTTTAAAGCTGCATAGCAGCAAATAGTTCCAATTGCACTATTAAGTGTTGGCATATATTATTTATATTTTTTCATTCTTTTCCTAATTCACCATATCAATATTCAGTTTTCTTAGTAAAATGGCTATATATATATATATATATATATTTGTCTATTTATGATTTACTTTTTATATGTTAACTTTATTTAGTAAGCCTTACGTTCTTCGAACTTATGTTACAGAAAATTCGATTCAACAGCAAAATCACAAACTACTAAAAAAAAGCACATCTTTAGAATTCCCGATAGAGCATTAAAAGATACCTTTTATATTTGCTTATTTGCTTATATTAGTTCATTAAAAACAAGTCTCTCGCGCGGCCAGCCGCGAAAAAATAGTTATCACAAAAAGTATATAACGATTTTAATAACTCCAGATAGTGTAAACTCATAAAAATATTGAATATTTCTAATTAGACATCTCAAAATTTTAATACATGTTATTTAAACCAAGTACATTAAAAAGCATTTTCAATTGCGTTTATTGCTTTTAAACCGCTTTGTTTATTACTCAGTTACCTTCCAGATTAAATTTGAAAATATTTTAAGCTTTACTGAATGAGAACACGCTGATGGGAGGAAGATAAAAATATTTTACTTCCTGCATTGGCAACACATTGCTTTCATAGAACCGAGTTTGTTAATTAAAACCATGGAGGTTAGAAAACCTGAAAGATCTTGCATTTTTCTGAAGGACAATAGTTACGTGCTCTGGGGATAAAAAAGCGTTTTGTTTCTGACAGTGTTGCCACCGCTCGCTTTCAAATCATTGAGTTTATTAAATCAAAAATTCATTAAAGTTTTATGAAATAAATAATAAAATAAATTCGAAATTCAAAGTTCGGGCTTCTAGGTGCACATGTTCGGGTGGAGGAATAAATTATTCAAAAATTCGTATCTCTAGTTACCGTTGCTTTTTCACAGCGAGAGGAACATGCATACATACATGCAAATTCTTCATTACTTTATTTCTTTTAAAATAATACAGGTACAGGTAGAAGATAGGCCAGCACCTCCGTAATACCACAGGTAATTGAGGTATTGCTGAACCTAGCTAACTGTTAAACTTTCCACCCCAATTTTGAGGCAGAACAACCCGGGGGGTCCGAGGTTCTCCCGCCCCTCCTTTTTTTTACCATCAACCACTTGAGAGGACTTTCTGAGATAACTGACTTCTGGTATTAATAGTGTACACAAATCATACTGAGAAAAGACTGTCCTTGAAAAGTTCAACAACTGATGCTTCCAAAAGTCTAAATGTATGAAAAATGTCCTTTCTATGGCGGGAAGTGTAATAAGCAAGTCTTTGGAGCTCCCGTCCATCAGCATTGCGTAGAAAAATGAAATTGTTGTTTAAAATAATACAGGAGGATAATATTTTGTGGCAATCATTTGAAAAGTTGTAGAGACATCAGGTTATTTGGAAGCAGGAGACATGAAAAATGAGCAATATCCTCATTGAGAGTAGAACCTGGACCTCTCGAATACGCGCAGAGCGTGCTGACCATTACACCACGAAGGCAGGCTAAGAAGGCCGGAGAAATACCTTATACACTCCCCCTATTAAAGCTTGACTGGGGATTAAGGGACCCAATCTCTAAATCCTGGTGGTAAAGAATCATCATCTACCACCTTTTTTAGTTCGGGTACCGCTGTAAACACATTAGATTATTTGGAAGCAGGAGACATGAAAAATGAACAATGCCCTCACCGGGACTTGAATCTGGACTTTCGAATATACGCCGAGCATGCTGTCCATTACACCACGAAGGCATGCTAAGAAGACGGGAGAAATATATGCCGCTTATAGTGAACCAATGTAAGATGCCATTTCGAGAACATTAGTAACCTCCTCTGGAGTAAATGATACCTGAATTTCTAGAACTTTGGAGCATTCTTCGGAAATAGAAATTCGTTGAAAAAATATATACTGTAGATGTTAGTATTAAAATGTGAAAGAATGTAAAGCTTTCTCTCTAACAAACTGTCAAAGAATACAAAGCCGGCATGAATGAATTTCTAAATTTAGACATGTTAGAAAAGAAAAACACTTCCTAAAAGAAAAAAAAAAAAAAAAAAAAAAGAGCTCTTTGAGTAATAGGTCCACCATCAGAAATATGAGTTACCATGTTTTTCTAATTATTAGCCAGTCTGCTCTTCGTGTTCAGGCGATGTCTACGAGTGCATTCAAAATTCTTTCTATACGCCCCTCGTTAATCTTCAACAAATCCATTACCTTCCAAAAGTGACCCGATTTCTGCTTACCTTTCTCTCTTTAAAAAAAAAAGGGGGGGGGCAAGATCTACTCTTTCATACCAGAAACTCAAGAAAAAGCTGATGTTTGGAGAAGACCTTTGACCCTTTTCCATTCGGACAGAATCTACGTGGGAGGAAAAAGAGTGGTAAGAGTGGTATTTTTTTCCCTTCCCCACCTACACCCTCTGTAGGAGGAGAGGGAAACTTTACCTTTCTGTTACACCATTTGTTCGGTACCATTTTTGCCTCGTTGCTCATACCGTTGTGGCTTCTTTGTGGTAAAATACTATCTGAAATGGTAGCAGAGGAAAAGGTATTTATTCTCTTTGTCGATAGGACTCCCCCGCTTGCCTTGGGTTACCCATGGTGTCATGTATTTTTCTTACTTCATTCCAAGATGAAATATGAGAAGTTCTTTAGAATCCCAACGAGTTGGTCATGCATGGGTTAAACACTTGCTTTCTGGATCGTGGCATACTAGACGCATTCCAGTTCTTTCATTCCACAGACTATGTGGACAAGCTTCTGCAAAGAATTTGTTATTTTAGTAATTGTTCATAATTATTTTGAAGTAAAATTTGCGAATGAAATTTAATGATTAGTCATATTTACGGCAGCCAATTAACATAGGATCAATACATAGTGCATCGTTGCATACCCTGCTGTTTTATAGGCAGATTCCCGATTTTTCATAACATTTCTCGGTACATCACCAAATTTTCCGGTTTCTAATTTTTAGCTTTTTTTATAAAACATATTTCCCAGCAATAAATGACATATATTGAATTAATGAAACTTCACTGTAACATCAAATGACGTAATGTAACATGATATAAAATATTGTTACGTTATCTGATGTAAAATTCTACAACCATCGCAACCCAAATTTTAAAACCTTTTCTCATTTACTGTACTCTTTTCATAATCTAAGAAAAGGATTTCAACTTTGAAATGGGTAATAAGCTGCAAAACTCGCATGCCCTGTTTTAGAAAATACATTTTATTTAATGAGAGGGTTTTTTTTTTTTTTTTTTTTTTTTTTTTCTTTCTTTACTAAAAATGTAGAAAAACGATTTTCAAACCAGTTTAAGAACCACCGGATCCGAAGACAGAATTAAAGCAAGTGACACACTACACTTGCTTGACATTTATAATGACAAGCGGTTTTGAAATAATAATAATTATCACACTCTCTTGGAAATGTGCCATGTTCTATTTATAAAACCTCTAAAAATCTCAATGCTCGTATTTGCTGTGTTAGCGGGCGTTGCCATTAAAATGTTCAAATCAAAGTTCATATCGCTTACCCGATCATGTGATAGAATTTGGTAAAACCATGAAAAACTTTGCACTTGCGAATAAAATTAAAAGTGATTAACGTATGCTTTTGTAACTGCCAATATCAAAATCTATAATTTTACGATCTAGCCGGAAAGTGGCTAGTGATTTTGCCGAACGGAAGGG